GGGCTCAAGTGATCCTCTTGCCTCAACCTCCCAATTAACTGGTACTACAGACACCCACCACAACACGTGACCATATATATGTATTTTTGGAGATGGGGTCTTACCCTTGCTCAGCCTGGTCTTGAACTCCTGAGCTCAAGTGATCCACCTGCCTTGGCCTCCCAGACTGCTGGGATTACAGGTGTGAGCTAACATGCTTGGCCTGCTGGGGATTTTTCTTACAAGAAAGCAAGCATTCTTAATCTTCTAGAGAGTTTCCAGTGACTTGGGGCATAGGAAATTTTATGGAAGCAGATACCCGCTCAGAAGCTTGGCTGAGTTAACACTTTTGTGTACGTTGTGCTGGCAAAGCTGGCATTTAGTGAGGTTTATTCCTTTTTAAAGGTCAGAAATAGTACACTGCAAGGATGTCCACATTTGCCACCATCTAGCAGCTGAAGAGCATTTGAACTGTTCCAGCTTTGAGTGTTCTGAGCATGCACAAGGCTTGCATGGATGTGTCTCTTATTTCTTGTGGCTAAATACCCAGGAGAGGAGGCGCTGTGTCATGTGGCAGGTGTATGCTTGGTTTTAAGAGTTTGCCAGATTCTTTTCCAAAGTGGCTGTGGCTCTGGGAACATCCTGTTACTCAGGCCCAGCCTGGGTTGTACCACGTTTGTACCCCTGGAAGGGCAGCTGGCTATGTCCTGCCCCGGGTATGGTATGAGTCATACTGGGCAGCACCATCTCCTTCCTGGCCTGTCACTCAGACTAGCTTCAGTCCTTCTCTGGGTGCCGGGCCCCTGTAACTGCCTACCCCCATGTCCTGCAGATGGTGCAGTCGCTGGGCTTTGCTATCTACCGTGCACTGGACTGGGGGCTGGACGAGAGTGAGGAGCGTGAGCTCAGCCCGCAACTGGAGCGTCTCATTGACCTCATGGCCAGCAGTGACCATGATGACAGTGGCTGCGGAGTGGCTGACGAGGGCTATGGGGGCCCTGAGGAGGAGGAGGAGACTGAGAGCAGCCCCCGCGCTGTACGCACCTTCACCCAGGCCATGCAGCTGTGTGCAGCGCGCCTGACCGACCCTCGGGGCGCACAGGCCCACTACCAGGCAGTGTGCCGTGCGCTCTTTGTAGAGACACTGGAACTTCGGGCCTTCCTTGCCAGGGTCCGGGAAGCCAAGGAGGTGAGGGCCAGCTGGGGGCAGGGCTTACAGGGGCGAAGGTGGAAGGGACAGGCCCAAAGAAGGGCGGGAGGCCAAGGAGGTGCTTCCCTGCGTGTGTGGGTGTGCAGAGTGTGGGGCATGGGGTTGGGCAGGACCAGATGTCTGTATGTCCATCCTTTGCCACTCTGGAGGACAGTGGTAACATGCCAATCTGCACTCTGCAGGCCTTGTCCTACAAGCTTTGCACACTCTAACTTAGCTCTCACACTACTCTTTACCAGGAGGGGCCGGGAGTTAGGCCTTCCCCGGGCATCATGACCCACACTTCTATACTTGCAGACAGACAGGACCCCTATCCTGAAAAGCCACATCTTCACTAAGGAACCACACATTCACCTGTGTGCTTGGAGCTTTGAGGGGTGCAGTTCAGTGAGAAAACCCTTTGTTGTGTCTGTAATGCACCTGATCCTGTTGCCTGCCACCTAGCTGAGGATATCAGCCATGTTACAGGGGAACAAATGTGGCCTCTAAGGCCAAGCCCCTCACCTGGAGCCCAGAACAAGGGCAGTGCTAGGCTCTGACACCCTCCCAGGGCGTCCTGCCTCCTGATAGCCGTAGTTGGGCACTAGCCATCCCTTTTCTAGGCTCAGCTTCTCCCTGGAGGGTCTCTGCACAGAGACTGCCTCCTCACAGATGAGAAAAGAGGGGCCTTGGGGGACCTAGAAGATTTGCTTCACTTTCTTGCTTAGGTGTAGGTGTTTTTGATGTTAACTGATGCTGGTTCCTGATCCCACTCTGGCATGTTGATGATGGGTGCTGTGGCTCTTTTTCTTTCTTTCTTGGTGGTGATTAGACAGAAACAGCCTAAAGATATTCCGAAGAGGATGGGAGAGCTGCCTCAGTCCTTTGCTCAGGGCTGCACCTGAGGACACCTGCACTTGTGCAGCTTAGATAGTTGGCAGCCATTTCTAGAGCACCTGAAAGTAGTTTGGCAGGTGGCTTGGGGCAAAAGCTAGGGAAAAGGTTCTGTCCTGGTTTGGGAAGTCAGGTGTTCTCCAGTGTCGGGAGTTTCCGGACTCTCAGTATAGAACATTACCTATCAGCTCCTGACAGTCTTCCTAGGCCTTCCCCATGACGCTGCCCCACCCATCACAAAGTACACACCAGTGACTGTGTCTCCTGACTTGCAGACTGACCGCTTCTCCCTCTATCTGCCGTCATTCATCCAGCCCACGTTTGAGGACCTATTGTGTGTCACACTGGGCCAGGTCCCAGTTAGATACTGACCAGAGAAGTATCTAAATGTAAACTCTTGTAAGGTGGATCCACCAACCCTTGTGGGTCCACCAAGAGGACGTGTGGGTGTGTGGCCTACCTGAGGAAGGCTGCTGCTGAGCTTAGTAGGAGAGCCGAGGTGAAGCTTCCACACCCGTGTCTGCCACCTGTGGAGGGCATGGAGCCTTCCTGGGGCACCTGGGTTGGGCAGGACCTTGGTATGAGGGTCTAACCTGTCCTCACCTGGAGAAGCTGCCCAAGAGAGTGGACAGGATGCTGAGTGCCCTGTGTGGCTCCAAAGCTGACAACATGACTTTCTCAGGGACTTGAGCCCCAAAGCCTGGGTCAATGTGCTCACTGGTCCTGTTTTAGCTGGTTGAGTGGCAGCCCCTGTGTTGAGGAGATGTCTCCTGGTGGGCAGAGCCCCTCTCCTGCCTTCTCTGGACTGACCAGAGCATGTGGTCCCAGATGCTGCAGAAGCTCCGGGAGGATGAGCCCCAGGTGGAGAAGCCCCAGGCAGAGCTCGACAAGCTGGGCCACACGGACTGGGTAAGGCTTGGCTGCTGATGGAGCAGATAGCTACCAAGGGTATGGAGGGCTGTGGGGGCCCTGCCTTGGCCTGAGAGCGTGTTCTCCTCCTCGGGGCCTAGGCCCGGCTGTGGGTCCAGCTCATGCGAGAACTCCGCCATGGGGTAAAGCTCAGGAAGGTGCAGGAGCACGAGTTCAACCCTCTTCCCACTGAGTTCCAGCTCACACCCTTCGAGATGCTGATGCAGGACATCCGGGCCCGGAACTACAAGCTGCGCAAGGTCATGGTGAGCACCTGAGCCCAAGGTCATGGTGACCGTGGAGCAGCCTCCCTCCTCCCCCACAGACCCAGGGCCCCATGCTTTGTGTGGGATACTGAGCTATGGGATATGAAGGCCAGGTCATGTTGGGGACAGTGTAACAAGGCAGGGAAAGGGGATGTGGAAGGTTCCAGAGGACCAGGGATGGCTCCCTGAGAAGGGACCCCAATAGCCGAGGTAGCATGTCGCTTTCCCACATACTGGTATCATTCTTGTGACAACCTGAGATGTGTCCACTGACTCATTTCCAGATGAACCTAAGCAGCAGGAAGCTCACAGCAGGGATAGTGGGTGTCAAGCCAGATGCTGCAGCCACCCAGAGAGTGGCTTGCAGTGTCTGGGAGGCAGTTGGGTCCTTGGGCAGAGGCTGGGGAGGACCAGGCTGTGGCCAGGCTGGACAAGCACCTTCAGGCTACACAGGCTCCAGCAGAGAGCCCCATCCTCAGTGTGGGCTGCCTCCTGTCCTCACTGGCAGGTGGACGGGGACATCCCCCCTAGGGTGAAGAAGGATGCACACGAGCTCATCCTGGACTTCATCCGCTCTCGACCTCCACTGAAGCAGGTACCTGTGTCTCCTTGAAGGCTGGCTAGGGCCTGAGCTGTCCTGTGGCTGGCCCACCGGCTCTCAGTGTGGCTAGCTTGGCCCCTCTGTCTTGGGCAGCCCTGTGTCTGCTTCTGGGCATAGTGCACACAGCCCCTGGGTGGCATCCCTCCTGTGAACCTGGCTGGTCCCCTGACTCTAGGATGGGCCACCCCTGCAGGTCTCAGAGAGACAGCTTCGCCCATTACCACAGAAGCAGAGGACTCTGCATGAGAAGATCCTGGAAGAAATCAGGCAGCAGCGGAGGCTGCGGCCAGTGGGCAGCGAGGGCTGGGCTGCTCGAGGTGAGCCTGGCAGTGGGAGGGGATGGGAGAGACTTCCCGTGGCCCTGGCCTGGGTTCCCCGACTTCCCTTGGTCAGGCTGTGCCTGACAACACCTTTATATTTGGGAGACACAGGACATTTTTATCTTTGAGATGTAGACTTCAGGGTTCTGGTGGCCTTGTGCAGGCTTTAGTAAGAGGTATGAAAAATAACGTGATCTGTGCCCTCCATGTAGGCTGGGACTCGTATTTGCAATGCCACACATTTCACAATAGTTTGACAGATTTCAACAGTCAGGAGGAAAATAAAAGCAATGTTTTTAGGCGGGGGAAAAAACAGGGATTTATTCAAATGTCTGAGTCCTAACCCTCCTTTGCAATACCCTGCACAGGTTTCAGTATTGAAAGCCTATTCAAGACGGCAAACTTCACTCCTACTTGTGCCGTGAATCTGTGAGGTGTGGGGCTCCCTAGGCTGGCATTTCTCATGTATCAAGTGGCTGACCAGCCCTCAGTTTCCCCTCTGTACAGTGGGGGAAGTAGGCAGAGGTGCACATGAGGCCATCAGCTCTTGCCTGGCCACTTCACTGTCCCCGGCCTGCTGGCCTGTCCTCCCCAGGGTTTGGCTCTCTGCCCTGCATACTTGATGCCTGCTCCGGAGATGCCAGGTCCACCTCCTGCATCAACCTGTCTGTCCCAGATGCTGGGAGCAGCACCCAGCGCCCAAGGCCGCGGGTGCTGCTCAAGGCGCCCACCTTGGCCGAGATGGAAGAAATGAACACATCTGAGGTCAGAGCCTAGGGAGAAGGTGGGTGGGGGCAGCAGCAGATGCAGCTGCATGGGGCACCCTCCTGCCATGGTGGTGCTGTCTCTGTGGGCTTAGTCTCTGACAGTACACCTGTCAGAGCTTTTTGGAAAGCCTCAGAGGAGGATTTCACTCTTTAGATGCTTGCTGAACACTGCATAGATACAGCAGGGCTGGGCAGTGAATTGAGGCCTCGGGGCCTCCATGGACCCAGCAGCACCCCTAGGTCCTGTGCCTCAGTCCAGTAATGGGCCAAGTGGGCAAGGCAGGTCTGGTGTGTCCCCAGGAAGAAGAGTCTCCGTGTGGAGAGGTGACACTGAAGCGAGACCGCTCTTTCTCGGAGCATGACCTGGCCCAGCTTCGGAGTGAGGTGGCCTCTGGCTTGCAGCCGGCCACCCAGCCCCCAGGAGAGACAGAGCCACGGCTCCGAGCAGACAGTGTGCACACATGGAGGCCAAGCACCCAAGACCAAGGCAAATACTTCCTCTCACTCTCACCGCCTTTCTCCCTTGGCTCCGTGTCTGGAGTCTTCCTCAGCAGGCAACCCCAGGGGTTTGGGGAGCTCATATCTGCAAGAGGTATTGATGATCTTTGCTTATCACCATAGACATGAATCCACTTTTTTCTGAAAACTTAATTTTTTTAGAGTCAGGGTCTTCTGTCACCTAGGCTAGAACACAGTGGTGTCATCATAGCTCACTGCTGCCTGGAACTCCCGGGCTCAAGTCATTCTCCTGCCTCAGCTTGCCAGGTTACTGGAACTACATGCATGTGCCACCACACACCACCATGCCTGGCTAATGAAAAAAAAATTGTAGGCTCAGCACCTGTGGCTCAAGTGGCTAAGGCGCCAGCCATATACAGCTAAGGTGGCAGGTTCGAATCCATCCCGGACCCACCAAACAACAAAGATGGCTGCAACTAAAAAATAGCCAGGCGTTGTGGCAGGCACCTGTGATCCCAGCTACTTGGGAGGCGGAGGCAGGAGACTCGCTTGAGCCCAGGAGTTGGAGGTTGCTGTGAGCTGTGATGCCATGGCACTCTACCCCGGGGGACAGCTTGAGGCTCTGTCTCAAAAAAAGAAAAAAATTGTAGAGATGGAGTCTTGCTGTGTCACCCAGGGTGGTCTTGAACTTGGCCTCAAGCAACTCTCCTCTCTTGGCTCCCTGAACTGCTGTAATTGCAGGCATGAGCCACTGTGCCCATGAAAGCTTTCTCATTAAATAAGTAACCCATATTCATTGTAACACATTTTGGGGAAACTTCTAAAACTTATTCATGATTTTTTTTTTTTTTTTTTTGAGACAGAGCCTCAAGCTGTCCCCCTGGGCAGAGTGCCGTGGCATTACAGCTCACAGCAACCTCCAACTCCTGGG